GTGTGTGTGTGTTGTCTGTTCTTGCTCGAATCACTCTACGCCTCCCACTTCTCCCCTGTCTCTCGCCATTCCCCTTACCTCCCCAACCACCCCCACTATCACCACCCAATAGTGGTCTGGTTCGGCTGCGGGTTCGCGGTACTATCTTGCTTCCATCGTCGAAGCGCTTCCGACCCCGGGCTACTTTTACGTCGACAGACACGCACGCACCGTCTCGTGAGTATTACGTGTTGAATGTGTGTGTGTGTGTGTGTGTGTGTGTGTGTGTGTGTGTGTGTGTGTGTGTGTGTGTGTGTGTACATGTGTGTACATGTGTGTGTGTGTGCGTTGATGTGTGTTTTTGCACGTGCGTGTCTGCTTGCGTCGTCCTGCATCCAACCATGTGAATGTGCGTTAAACACTTAACGATCACCACCTCATGGCAAGACACCATGCCAACATTCCACTCCGTATCTGCTTGCAGCCTGTGCACGAACAACAAGACGGATCCAAACGCGGAGAAGGTGGTGGCCGCCACCCAGATTGAGGTGTGTGTGCGTGAATGCGCTGGGCGCATCTCAAGTGGGCTCCATTCCTGTTGTGTCACTGTTTGCACTCATCCACTTCACCCTGACGCGTGCACACGCACACACACTTACTCACACGCTCACACGCTCACTCTCTCTCTCTCACACTGACACATACACACACAAATACACACAAGTTGATTCGTGTGCAAGGCAACGCCACAGCTGGACAGTTTGTCCGGAACATTCACTTTCGCAATCTGGACATTCGCTATTCGGCCGTGGACGTGAGCACGTGTTTCTCCAGCTCCTGCGACGCGCAGTCCGCGGATTTTCTCACCACCGCCACCATCCACATTACAGGTGGTGACGATGGCAGTTGGTGTTACTCGTTGTGCTCACATGATGCTGTTGTTGCGGTCTCTAATACCTTCATTCGTGCATTCAAGGAGCGCACGCAGCTTCACACATTTGCACACGCACGCACACACACACACGCACACACACACGCACGCACTCACACACACACACACACACACACACACACACACACACACACACACACACACACACATACACACACACATACACACACACACACACACACCCTCTCCTACTCATCCCTCCTGTGTACCAGGAAGGGTGCGGGGTGCTGGCGCAACTCGTCGCCCACACGATCATCCAACACAACCTCATCTTCAACTTTTCCTACGGGGTGTTCAACTCGTCGCTGACGCAGAGCCACGTTGCGGATGTTGGTGCCGGTGGTGTTCGTGTTGGTGTTGGCATGACTGACATTGGCCTGTCTCTCCTCTCCGATATGGGGTGAGCAAATGCTTGCACTCGTGTGCTTGACAGCGTGAATTTACATGAATGTGCTCCTTGTGTTGCTCGCTCGTTCACTTCTTCGCTTGTTTGCTCAGTTGCTGGGTTGGTGATTTGTTCATTGGTTTCCGTTCGAATGTTTGCGTGTATGGCTGCTTCTTGTCCTCTAATTTGTTGACCTTACTCATCAAACGATGCTCACTGCATCAACCCATTCCCTTGTCTCTTCGATGTGTTTGTCAGGTGCGTGTACACGCTCGGAAAGCAACCAGGCACCCAAGTCATCAACAACATCTGCCACACCGTGTATACCTACAACTACGGGTGAGTTTGCTGTGGCACTTGTGTGTGTGTGTGTGCGTATGCGTGCGTGTGTATGTGCGTGTGTGTGCGTGCGTGTGTATGTGCGTGTGTGTGCGTATGCGTGCATGTGTGTGTGTGTACGTATGTGTACGTGTGCGTGTGTGTGTTTGTGTGCAGACTCCTGAACGCCACCATCATCACCTCTTCCTCCTCTCCCCACTCGCCACCCTTGCCTGCCATATTCCACCCCACCAGCGGCTGGGGTCTGTACACGGACGAGGGAAGCTCATACATTCAGCTCCGAGACAACATTGTCTTCCACACGAAATGCGCGGGCGTTCACCAGCACTAGTGAGTTGTGACCGCTTGACACAAACGCGTGCACATGTTGCTGCAGATGTGGCTATGCGTGTGTGTGTGTGTGCATGTGTGTGCATGTGTGTTTGTGTCTGTGTATGTGTGTTTGTGTGTTTGTGTGTATGTATGTGTGTATGTATGTGTGTTTGTGTGAGGGGGTACGGTGTCGCCGTGAATGCCACTTGTATCTGTGAGCGCGTGGGCGTGCATGAAGTTTGCGTCGTCGATGTGTGTGTGTGTGTGTGTGCGAGATTTCATCCATCATCAATGCTCCCACTGCCTTGTCCCTCTCCATCTAAAGCGGCACGGACAACACCTTCTCCAACAACATCCTTGCAGAAGTGAACACATTGACGTGCGATGCAGCCATAAGGTGCGTGGGAGGGGAGGGAGCAGCGTTGGAGAGGAAAGTAGCAAGGAAGCTCTAGTGTGTGCGTGACGTGAACTCATCATGCCCCTGTTCTTTCACACACACACACACACACACGCACACCCACACCCACACAACC